TGATTCAGCCCCCCGCACCTGATTCAGCCCCCACAACCTGATTCAGCCCCCGCACTTGATTCAGCCCCCCGCACCTGATTCAGCCCCCACACCTGATTCAGCCCCCCGCACCTGATTCAGCCCCTGCACCTGATTCATCCCCACACTTGATTCAGCCCCCCGCACCTGATTCAGCCCCCCACACCTGATTCAGCCCCCAACACCTGATTCAGCCCCCCGCACCTGATTCAGCCCCCTGCACCTGATTCATCCCCCACACTTGATTCAGCCCCCCGCACCTGATTCAGCCCCCCACACCTGATTCAGCCCCCCGCACCTGATTCAGCCCCCCACACCTGATTCAGCCCCCCACACCTGATTCAGCCCCCGCACCTGATTCAGCCCCCTGCACCTGATTCATCCCCCACACCTGATTCAGCCCCCCTGCACCTGATTCAGCCCCCGGTGCCTCCTGGGGAAACAGCTTTTGGACTCAAGATCTATTTAACTTTAAACTGCAGTGGAACATGAAATCTTTGCCTCTTGACTCATAACAGTTTTCACTCCTCTGCTTCCGGATCATTCAGCGCTTTGTCTCTTCACCTGAACGACTTGTGAACATGTCCGCTAACGCATTTCCAATTTGTCTATGACGGAGTTGGAATCCGCTCATTGCTCCCAACCAGTGGCCTTCGATTGAAGGACAAGAATATAGGCCGAAGGTATTCACTGTGCTTGTCTAAACAACTGGTGACAGCGCCGCTGTCTCATTTACGAGGCACACCCGGGCGGCAATTTGCTCAGATCAGTCGGATACTTCCACCTATACTCCTGGAGAGAAGACGCACAGCCGCTTAATAAGAAGTGGGGTGTAGTAACGGGGACGTCAACCATCGCTTTGTGGGCTAAACTTGTGCTTTAGAGCCGTTGACGCGAGAAGGTGAAGCTACAGCGACACACTGAGTAGGAAACAGGTTACAATCACCTGACAACAACTAAAGGTCCCTGTGAAAGTTCCAAGACAAAATCCCAGCAACCTGTCAATCAAAGGGCAGCCCCGCCCTAAAGCCCATTCAGCTTAACGGTAAATTAGATTCTAAATGATCAGTTACTAAATAAATAACCTGAATCAAAGACATACTAGAGACTGAGACCATGAACACGTTTACAATACGGAAATAAGTCATTTTGTCTCTTCTATACAACCCGAGGAGTCCCACTGAGTAGACAGTCCAAGACATTTTAGCCTTTCCTTCTCAAGTAGGGTAAAATAATGAAGTGATATTAACTGAAACGCTCACTTCAGGCCACCACAGTAGCGATGTACCACGTTTAGTCTGTGTGAGAAGTGATCGCGCTGCTCTACGTCATCGCTGCACTTTGGTAACAATTCAATGAGTTTCACACGAGAAGTCTTTGTTACGTGTTTTAAAGCGGATTGGCGTTGGTTAGTATTTCAGAGGAGGAGCCGGGTCCTCTACGGAGCGACGCCGAGGCTAAAGGAGGACCTAAGATCAGCCGCACCTTCAGCTACATCCGCAACAAGATGACCAAGAAGAGCAAGGTGGGATTCATTCTTTGTACAGGACCTGCTTCAAAAGGAATGTGTGATCTTCATTGGTTTCCATCTCTTTCTCGCTTGCAGGAGAAGGAGAGGAAAGGCGAGAGGGAGCGGGAGAGCAAAGAGAGAGAAAAGAAGAGTGCAAGCGGTCACGTCTTCATCCCCGCCGGCGCGTCTCCATCCGCGGCCTGTCAGCACTGCAGCAAAGTCCTCAACAGCAAGGAGACGTTCCTCTGCAACAGTAAGGCTCCTCCGTCAGGTGTCTCTCTTGTGAACAGTTAGTGTTAATAATGCAACAGGCCCTCACATGCGTCACCAACGTATATTCAAAATCCTCTTTGTGTCTTAACACTCACAAGCAACTGTCACTTAACCTTTGGGACCTTCCGAGCGCCAGACTCCCTTCAGAAGACCCTGGAGTTGAAAGCAGGAGGCTCGAGCAACGCAGGCCGACCCAACGCTGTGTAGAACGTCGTAAGCTCAGAACGTTGTGTCACGCGGGACTCTATGAGGAGCTGGAAGCCAACAGGAAGTTGTCTGAGATGCACACGGCGGTTTCTGCTGACGGGGTTTCTCTGCTAAAAGGTGGAGATGTGTTTGTTCCAGTGGCAAGACGAGGGGACGTTATGCTAACTTTCCCCACCAGTCTTGCACTCTGTTGCATCACGCCAGTGTGTGTCTGTGTGTGTTGTTGTTGTCGTGGTTACCAGAGCAGTGTTGGCAGAGGGGAGAACTGAGCAGTGTGTGTGAGGGTTTGTCCCTCCGGAGGAGGAGGAGGACTAGCGGTCTGTTGGCTTATTGTGGAATCATTGCCCAGTCACTGCCTTCCCCTTTTTCCTGTTTCTGTTTCCTCTCCACGGGCATCCACTTTGATCTAAAAGAAGGGCTTTGCTCCCTGGGGGGTCCCTGGGGGTCCGTCAGCCGGGCAGATGTGAACTCGCTGAGGTTCTGTGGAGGTGAACTTCCCCGTTGTTTTGGTGGCATCTGGGCCCTGAAAGTCCTTGACAGTCCCTCTGAACCCGTCCACGGACGATCACGTCTGGAATTGGCGTCGACGCGTTCAAGTCTCAGCAGGTTCATGGTTGAAGTGTGCCGCTGGCATCGGGTTCTTTTCCTCGTTTTTCCCCGCGGTGAGGGAAGCTCGGCCTTTAACGGGCTGAATGGACGTAAATGGACTAACCTCTTCCCCCTGACGATCACCAGGCAGGAAGTGTTTGTAACGATGGTGTCGTTTGCAGACTGTGGGGCCCATGTGCATAAGTGCTGCAGAGAGAGTCTGCCCACCTGTACAAAGAGCAAAGCAAAGGTAGGTCTGATGCTCACTCCTCACAGGTAACGCTCAGCACGAAACGCACCGTAACCCTAACCCTCCAAAGACGTCCTGTGTTTGCTTCCAGCAGCAGTTGCTGGTGGCAGAAGCTGCTCCGGGGTCAGCTGTTAACACCAGGAGTAAATGTAAGAGCTTCTGTTAACTATGTCATTACTAAAAAAGTCTCCTGCTGGTACAGCAAGTCCTAAATGTTCCCCGTTACATCCACAGCTACATCTTCAGCATCGTCTGCGTCCTCTACGTCTTCCTCGTCGTCACGGGAACGCTGGTCCACAGCAACCAGCCCTGAAGAGCAGCTCCCCTTGAGTTTTCCACGAAGACACCCAGGTCTGTTCAACCCGCACAGCAACCTGGCAAAGAGCATCTCCACCAGCAACATAGCCGGGTGAGACGCCTCACACACACGCACACACACGCACACACACACCCTGTACCTCTGTGTGTGTGTGTGTTCTTAAGCCTAACCCGTTAACCTATTAAAGCCAAGTCTGAGCCCTCAAGCAGGCCTGAAACAATCCTCTCCAGCTGTGGCCGCAGGTCCACACAAAGATGGATGTACAATTACACAAGCGCACACATTCACACACACAGCTCAGACTGGTGTCATCATGATCGTTCCACGGCTGCTGGCGTTGCAGTGGAAGTAGAACAGACGTCCTGTTTGTGTTGTAACTCGTTCTCATTGAATTCTTTGTTCGGTTCCCTGCAGGCTGGACGAAGTGTCACTTAAAGGCCTGAAGTTTCTTTCCCAGTCCACTGACTCTCTGCACAAGGGGGGCAAAGTCAACGCCTCCACGGAGTCCCTGACGGATGAAGGTAGCGCGTTTTTCTTCTTCTGCCACACTGACTGTGGATATAAATGGATGAGGCGTCTGCGTCTACTGTACAATGTAGAGTCCAAACTACTGCCCATGAAGGCCAGACAGCCGGTGCAGGTGGGATCAGGGAGCTGGGGGTGAATACCAAGCCCCCCCCCAGCTTAGCATGACAGCCACGAGGTGCATTAGCGCCGCTGCAGCTCAGCGTATTGATCATAAAGGCCTCTATACATTTATGATCAAATCAAAGCAACTTCTTCTTCATCTGCAGGGGGCAACGGACATGTTTGGGGGTTTTGGGGAACTGTTCATGTCTTGCGTTTTTTTTTATACACCGGCTACCTAACAGAACCTTTCTGATGTGGACTCATGCTGTTTGTGCGAAGGTACGGAGATGATGGACAGCCAGCTGATGGGAGAGTTTGAGTGCGACACTAAAGATCTGGAAGCCGACTCTTGGAGCGGCACCATGGAGAAGAAGTTCCTGAAATTGTTGAAGAAAGACGAAATCAAGAAACAAGACGTTATCTATGGTAACGATGCGTTGCGACTCCTTTTGAGAAGGATGCTGTTCATGATCACGGGTTAATGTGCCGAGCGCTCCCTCTCCACAGAGTTGTACCAGACGGAGTTCCACCACGTGAGGACGCTGAAGATCATGTCTGAAGTCTACTACAAAGGTCTTCAGAAAGAGCTGCAGCTCGACCCTCAAACCCTGGACAAGGTGACGGACGTGCCGAGGAGCAGTGCCACTTGTGGACCAGAGTACCGGCAATATCGATGAGGAGAGCGTCGTGAAAACTGCACATATTGATTGTTTCCCTCCTGTAGATCTTCCCCGTTTTGGACGACATGTTGGAGACGCACACACATTTCCTCACTCTGCTCCTGGAGAGAAAGAAAGCTTCATCAACCGAAGGACAGAACAACAACTACCTCATCTTCAGCATCGGGGACGTGCTGCTCAACCAGGTGAGCGAGGCAGGAGAGCCCCCCCCCCTGAGAGGTTTAATCGGATTGACCTTCATAGTCACATAACTCAGAATATTACATGTTATGATCCCATACCAGTGGCACTTTATAACGAATACAATAATAGGGCACTGCATCATATGGTTGATACGCAATAATAATTCATTGATTGAATTGATGGATTTCCTTGTGTGCTGTCAATGTATATAAGGTACCACTGAAACGCAGCTGCAGCTGTTAAATACATTGAAAAATAGATTTATAACAATTCCTGTGAAATGCAATTCCCTTCTTTTCATTTCTACTTTTGTAGAAGTTAAAAACAAATAAGAATATTAAACATCTGGTGTTTTAACCTCAGTTTTCAGGCAGCAGCGCCGATCGCATGAAGAGAGTTTACGGGAAGTTCTGCAGTCGCCACAGCGAAGCCGTCAATCTCTACAAAGACCTGCACGCCAAAGACAAACGCTTCCAGGCGTTCATCAAGGTCGGCGCTCGTTCTTCTAAACACGCGGGGCACGTTCACCCTGCAGGGGGTCTGACAGTGAACTCACCTCCCTGCATCTTTGCGTCCACGCAGAGAACGATGAGCAGCAGCATTGTGCGGCGACTCAGCATCCCAGAGTGCATTCTGCTGGTCACCCAGAGGATCACCAAGTACCCCGTCCTCATCCAGAGGATGCTGCAGCACACTAAAGGTACCAGAGCAGCCGGCTGGCCCCCGTGAGCCGGGAGGAGCAGGCCCTCGCTTCATGTGCTTCCTCTCGCTCCCACAGACTCCGATGAAGACCACGGCTGCGTCTGTGAAGCTCTGCGCTGCGTGAAGGAGATGATCACGGCTGTGGACAGCAAGGTCAACGAGCAGGAGAAGAAACAGAAGCTGAGGGAGGTGTACAGGTACAGACACAAAGCTCACACTGCGACTGGAAGATGAGTTGAAAGGTCCATGGACAGCTGATGAAGAAAATGTGATTAAATCTACTGCTACTAAATCCACTTGCAACCGCGTAACAATTTCATTTTAAATTCTTCTTTTGTTTCCTCCCTCCATTGCCTCTTAGACGTCCACAAGCGCATTTATTTATTCTCTGCACGTTGGAAATAAATGTCTGTGTATTTTGCATCACCATCAGAGCCGATCATGTTGGCTCTGGCTTTGCCAGGAAACATTTTCATATTCCTATTAATCATTAACAGAAAAACACAAAAGCACACCTTCCGGTTTGTCTCTTTCACTGAACCAACACTATGTACAAAAGAACAACGTCCAAAGTGAAGGAGGAGGGTCAGCTGGAAGCTTTTATCTCAGTGTGGGCGGGGCATAAACCCTCAAGCCTGCTTTCTGTGATCTTCCAGTCGCACCGACAGCAAGTCCATCATGAGGATGAAGAGCGGCCAGATGTTCGCTAAGGAGGACCTGATTAGGGGGAGGAAGCTGCTGCACGACGGAGCGCTGCAGCTGAAGAACTCCGCCGGGCGGCTCAAAGGTACGTGGCGGCTCGCAGAGGAAACCCCGCTGGACTCCGTCAGCATTCAGCGCGCCGCATCCTCCTTTGTGTTGCAGACGTCCAGGCCATGCTGCTGTCGGACGTGTTGATATTTCTTCAAGAAAAAGACCAGAAATACGTCTTTGCCTCATTGGTAAGAACCTCCATCTGCTGGCGTGTATATTCTCACAGTCTGAGAGTCTGACGTGGAGCTCTCTGCCCTCAGGACCAGCGCTCCACCGTCATCTCTCTGCAGAGCCTGATAGTCCGAGAAGTGGCCAACGAGGAGCGAGGTCAGGCTCCTTCTTCTTCTTCTCTGCTTTGCACACTGAGCGAGTCACGCATTTGATAAACAGCGAGACACAGCAGAGGTCTGTGGTGTGAGTCAGTGTGCCGTCTCTCCCGCAGGTCTCTTTCTGATCACAGCTGGAATAGAGAAACCAGAGATGGTGGAGGTGTTGGCCAGCAGCAAGGAGGAGCGCAACACGTGGAGAGCCATCATACAGGACGCCATGCACTGCATGTGAGGATGCACCTGAACACCGGGCTCTCAGTATGACGACGTAAATGGGCAAAAGAATCAGACGGAGTACCGCTGTGATGTTGACAACACACGTTAAACTTCGGAGGATAAATAAAACCAACAGCGTCAGCATGGCGACTGAAATTGTGACTTGAATGAAGGAAACTTTCCTCTTCATTTTCTCCCCATTCTGCCTGGTAACCATCGCCGCAATAACACCGCAGCTTGGTGATTGTGTGAGCAGACAAGCGCAAACAACACGTGTCAGAACAGCGTAGCAGAAGTCCGATGATTCCAGTTGTCGGCTGGTCACAAGTGGCTCTGATTACACAACCCAGCATCCCAGATCATAACCTGGGCCCAATAACAATGAGGTACCTTCAGGAACAGGTGGGCAGAAAGCTGTCTTAAGGTTCTCCCAGCAGGCATTAGTGTCTCTCCGGGTTGTTCGGGCCCCAGAATAAAACTGGTCTGATAATATTTGAGCTTCACAGTGTTTGTGTGTCTACAGGGAGAAAGACGAGGACGAGGGAGTCCCCAGTGAGACAGAAGAAGACCGGAGGCAGCAGGAGAGCAGAGCGAAGGAGATCCGAGGTGACCCCCCCCGACCCGTGGCATCAGGTTCGATTGTTTGATGGCCTCGTTTTCATGTCTCTCATACAGTCTTTTGTGTTCCAGAGCTTCTGCGAAGGAAAGACGAGCAAATCATCTCTTTATTGGAAGAGAAGGTCCACATCTTCAGGGACCTGGGCGACTCTAGTCCCGCCCCTGATGATCCCAGTCCACCGGTCAGAGAGCGGATGTTGTTCATGGCCACACCCGACGACGTCACCAAGGGGGAGCCAATCATGATGGACGCCCTGAGGGAAGGTGAGCGAGGTCTTCCAGGGTCACACGCCGCTGCCTGGTGCCCCAGAGGTTTGAGTGCTGACACCGTGTGTTTGATCTTCCCCGTGTCCCTCCAGTGGAGACCCTGCATGGCTTGGTCAACAGCGGCTGCAGTGTTCCAGTCGGCCTGACAGGGGGCAGCGTGGGACCGGTCTGCCTGCCCAGGAGAGCGGAGACATTCGGGGGCTTCGACAGTCACCAGATGAACAGCAGCAAGAGTGAGACACACACACACACACACACACTCGCATGTGTCTTTAGGTCAGCCGTTACGTAGACGCCGTTGTTGCTGTACTACAGTCAGTCCAGTAAACGCTGATGTGCGTTGATTCAGATTCCTGAAACATGACAGCAGGTTGATCTCACATAAAAAACCTTCTCTTCTTCTCTTCACTGTCCCCAGATGGAGACAAGGAGGAGGGGGATGAATCACTGGACCTCCGTAGGACGGAGTCAGACAGCGTGTTGAAGAAGGTGCAATTCATTATTCTTAGTTTGTTCCAAGATCTGTTTTTAAAAATGGATGTCAACGTCACTGAGTTCCCTTTAGAGAGCAGAAATGGCTGAACATGTTTTGAGCCAGCAGCTAATGTTATTATTTTATTTTATCTGAATCACCAATGATTTGTTTCCCCAATATTTTAAATTCATGGCCTTGTTAACATTGTTACATAATCTATTGTAAACTGGTACCGAGACTCTTTGTGTTTTACTGTCCAGTATTTTAAGTGAAAAGGGATATGCTGCATCAACAAGAAACCATAAACCTAGTCATCTTCTCTTCATCTGATTTACCGATGAACCCTCCAAAAGTCTCTGAGCTCAAAAGGTCACAGCGTCAAACACGTGACACGTGATCCCTTTATTATGACCTCAACACTATTCAACACACTCTTTTTTCAACACGGCTGTGCGGTTTGCTAGAAGGGGCCTGCTGGACTGCACACACTTAACTATTTATACACCAGAGAAGATTTCACTTGCTTACCAGCGGTACATTAACAATACCACCAGGAGCGAGTTAGCATGCTGAAATTAGCATCCAGCTAAGGCCACCGCTGTGTCTACTCGCAGGCTCACTGCCATGTAATATAATGTATTCCTCCCGGTATCTCACTGCTGCTCACAGACCATACAAACGCTTAGCTGGCATTACATTACAGCATTTGATGTCAACATTAATATGAATTATTTTGGTGTGTGTGTGTGTGTGTGTGTGTGTGTGTGTGTGTGCTTCAGGGAGCCACCGCCAGCCTCCAGATGTTGCTGAAGAGAAACCATGAGGTATGCAGGCTGTAACCAGAAGCAGTTTCAGCCTCCGTGACCATTTGCATGTTGCCAAGCAATTTACACAAGCGCACCTCAACACAGCAAATGTGGCAGCGCTAACTGCAACTAGTGTCCACAGCAAGAAAGCACTCGCCCTATCAGGAACTGTATTTATGGAATAAGCTAAAACTCTTAATCTAAATAGCTAGCTAGCTGGCACACATGACATGTAGTGCGTGTTGCTAGCTAGCTGGTACACATGACGCGTGGTGCGTGTTGCTAGCTAGCTGGCACACATGACGCGTGGTGCGTGTTGCTAGCTAGCTGGCACACATGACGCGTGGTGCGTGTTGCTAGCTAGCTGGCACACATGACGCGTGGTGCGTGTTGCTAGCTAGCTGGCACACATGACGCGTGGTGCGTGTTGCTAGCTGGCACACATGACGCGTGTTGCTAGCTAGCTGGCACACATGACGCGTGTTGCTAGCTAGCTGGCAGATATGACGTGTGTTGCTAGCTAGCTGGCACACATGACGTGTGTTGCTAGCTGGCACACATGACATGTGGTGCGTGTTGCTAGCCACCATTAGCCCACTGAGAAAGAGATGAAGGCAATTGACGGGAGGAGTCAGAAATATCTGTCACTGTTTCTCTTTCTCATGAGGGCTTCTTGGTATGAAATGCTGTTACTTTTTGAATTTATGTTTGTGAATTAGCAGATTTGCAGTATTATTTTCTCCATCATGTTATACAGCCTCCAGAATAATGTGCAATTCAATTGTTCTCCTCCAAAGGCTGTTTTTCCAAAATAGAATAAGATAAAACAGTCAGTTTATGAATTTGGTTCTACTGTTTGATTTTATGAGCCGTAATTTAAATCAATGAAAATGCTGTAATTTATCACTTTGGGACTCCAGCAGGTGCAGCACAGTGTGACGCATCTTCACGGCCTGCTGATCTCACTTCAGGTACCAGTCACACAGCTTCAGTAAAAAGAATACGACGCACACACACAAGTACACTCGACCTTCATTCTAACTCCTCCTCTCCTGCCCAAAGGCCGTGGTAGTGCAGCAGGACTCGTACATCGAGGACCAGCGGCAGACGCTGAGCGAACGGCTCACCGCCAATTCTTCCAGACACTCGTCGTCCTCCTCGCTTTCGTCGTCTTCCTCGTCCCGCCCTTCCTCCCTCATCGAGCAGGAGAAACACAGGAGCCTGGAGAGACAGCGGCAGGAGGCGGCCACCCTGCAGGTCCACGTTCACGCGTTATCTTTCTTTTTTCACACGATGAGTTGTGGCGCCATCCACTTTGTTTAATTGTCTTCATCTAAAGGAGTGCTTGTTCTTTTGTTGGTTGCAGAAACAGCAAGCTGCACACCAGGAGGAAAAGAGGAGGAGAGAGAAGGCGTGGGAGCTGAAGGACAGGTGTCTGGCAGAGCGGGAGGAGAGGCTAAGAGCAGACGAGGACCAGACCCAGATGAGGCATCGGGAGGTGACGGAGGAGTGGGAGGCGCTCCGGAGGAGGAAAGAGGAGTACCAGGTGGAGCTGGAGAGGCTGAGGGAGGCGCAGAGGAGGCTGGATAGAGACAAGGAGGCTCTGAAGAGAGACACCGAGAGACTTGAGGCCATGAAGAAAGACGAGGTCAGAGTCCCTGAGGGCTTTTTCTCTCCATTCCCAGTCCAGTAATGAGGCAGAGATTTGAATGTCCACACCGATGACCAGATGACGTATCCCAGCAAACACCATATTTATGGGCATCCCACAATACACGTCTGGGCTTTCTCCAAGTCCCGCCCCCTGGAACCAGACTGGTCAATCGTAGTGTAGCTGTCCGTCTTTGCTCCTGGCTCTCACCAAAGTCTGAGACTAACTAAGATTTGCATTCCTACACAACATCCTGATGTTAAGATGTGCTATCTGGTTTTCATGGTGGTCCTCCAGGACAATTGTACAATACAAGCACAAGAAAACTGAAAACCCAACCAGATAAAATCAGGAGGAGGGAAATGGATCCTTCTATCATGGGTTCTAGAAGCGTCAGTGATAGTTCTAAGACAGAAGTAACTCTTCCTATGATAACGTTGTTGCCTGACGAGGTAGCAGCTCCCTTCAGGGTGTCACTGCTGGGTTAAAGGTGAAACATGGGCGCGTCAGTGACCACGTGTCTTGTTTCTCTATTGACAGTCGGAGCAGCTTCATCGGTACCAGCGGACTCCCTCCACCACCTCCGAGGAGTCCATAAGGTTCCACAGCTCCGGGTCTCTGGACCTCGAGCCGAAGGAGGCAGCCGAACAGCCGAAAGTGGTAAAAATCGATTGCAGAAAAGGTGTTTGTTGGCGTTTCGGAGGCGTAGCAACGGGTCCCCGAACAAGTAAAGAGAGCTTCCCTTTTTCTCTGGATGTGCCACAGGTGGAGCTCTCAACCTCCGCCCCGACCAAAGAGCCTTTCCTCCGCATCGGATCCAAGAGGATGAAGAAAAACTTCAACCCCTTTTCCTCGTCATCCTCCTCCAAGACTCAGGGAGCAGAGAAGGAGGCGCAGCTCCCCAACAGGCTGCTTCAGCTGACCAAACCCAAGGAGAAGAAGGACAAGAGGAAGACGAAGGGCAAAGCAGAGCAGACACAGACAGGTGCCTCGACCGAGCTCCACCCGGTGGTTTCTTCAGCTTAATCTCTTTGCTCCTTCTCATTTTTCATACATGACATATGGAATCTGATGGAGGCAGTGATCTATTCTCACTACACCTTCATGCTACTAAGCTATGGTTGCTTTGAAGAAATGTCCTCATTTTCCTTCCTGTTGAGAGTTCTTTACTTTTCAAACGGTTTGCATTTGAATACTTCGATGTACAGGGCAAATATTACGAGGCAAGAAAGTTCCTGTAAAGAGGTTAATGTCATAAAGGCGTCGAGTCACATCAAAGGTATCAGTAAGGGTGATAGTTAGTACAATAATAATAATATACATTTAAAGATTTGTGGAGTTTTCCTAATGTTAGTTTAAAATGATGGCAATATGTCGTTTAATTATTAAGTATTATGAGGCGTGACTTTTTACGAGCTACACTGGCTCCGTTCCAAACTACGAGCTCCTCTAAAGCTCGCTGAAGAATATGTCAGATTCTGACCTGTGGCTTCCTGTCTCTCACAGCTGGAGTGATGTTGGATCCTCAGAACGACGGGGACATCTTCTTCTGCTGAGGACAGGGACAGCTTACATGTGGACCCCTGAGTGACCCCTTAGCTCTCTATTTGCAAATGAAATGCCCACATGGGTCTCCTTTGCAGGCCGCATGGACTTGGACACTGTCCCGACCGAAAGGAAGACGATCCAACTAACCTGCAACAAGCACTGACCTCCTCCATGAGTCCCCAGCTGATGTCCCGTTGAGCTGGGGACTCAATCAGGGGGTCTTTGATCAACAAGTACGCCCCTCCCCTCCCCTCCCACCTTCCATTAGTAAATCCAACAAGAGGAAGAGGTATTCCTGATGTCTCCTGGCTGTAGGGACCCTCAAACCTCCTCCAGAATCCAGACTGTAGCTTCAACACTTGTAGTGCCTTAAGTCTCTGACATGGTCTCCGTCTGATGGACGCAGTCACTGCAGGACAGGTGCTTCACAATCGCCAAGCAAAGGAAATCTGTCATCAAACAGATCAGATGAATCCATGAACGCCTTTTTGGTGTGACAATCACAGCAGTGCAACTTAAAATACACACATATATATATATATATATATATATATATGTGTGTGTGTGTATTTGTATGTATATAATGAGTGAGTGATGCCTCATTTTAACGGTTTGCCATTTCCCCTTAATGATCTCATCACACGTTGGTTACAGTCATTTGCGTGGGAACATCACTAACAGATGAGCTGCATTTAAATCCAAACCAATCTGCCTTTCATAGCTGCAGATTTTATTCTTAATATAGCGTCAATGTTTTGTGATGACACAGATCCCCAGGAGCTCGTTCTTTTACCCTTTTGTAACATGTAGCACACCGGTTTTGAGTTGAGTATTTGATGTTTATCTACATCTCACCCTTTTGCACGTCCATTAAAACTCTCTGAAACCATTCGGCACTGACAGAATAGTAAAAGTAATATAGAATAAACCGGCTCGTCCTAGATTCACACTGAGATGACGTGGTCATATCTTGCTGCTGCCTCTACGGTCCAAATGAACGACCTTTGGCACGTTGAGAAATGGAACAAAACCAAATGTGGTTGTTAATGTTTTACACATTTAAAACGTCACTTTAACTGAGCTCTGTAGTTCGTTCTTGACTTTTATTAATATCTCCAGAGTTCTCCAGGAGCATTTGACTTCGTCAGCAGATTGACTCAAACATCCACGTTGATGTAAATCAATTTGGATAATTGTATTACTATATTAATAATATTGCATTAATTTGCCCCTCTGTAATAATCGTTGATTTTAAAAGGAAAATTATAATTTAGTTAAGCCCTACTGAAGTCTTCAAAGAGAGACAATCATTGGTTTTACATTGTATTTGGTCGATCAGTACACATAGAGATACTGTGGATTGTCAAAGGAAGGCTCATGGACGGGCCTTTTAAACGGGGATAACTATTTATAAATAGTTTCTCTCAAAGGAACTTTACAGATACTTAAAATCGACCCATAATCCCTTTGAGCGTTGCATAAAATCCCCGTTATTTTGATCTGAAAAGGACGAATAGAAGCCAAAGCTCAGTATCCGTTAATACCCGACCCCTTCAACAAAATCCTCCCCCTATGAACTGAACATTGCGTGATTTCCGATGCTGGTTATCCTCCTCAGCCCTGCTGCTCCCGTTCATCCACTGTGCGATTAAAAAAACCTGCATTGATTTTCTTCTCCTGTTCTCTGCTGAGAAGAGCTTCAAGACGCCGGGGCTGGAGAACAATATTCCAGCCCTCGGTGGCACATTGTCCTCTGACACGGAGAGTGTGAGAACACCAGAGGCGGTCGGTCTTCCTTCCGGTCTTCAGGTTCAAGGGCAAAGAAAACCTTCTTTGGAGACTCGAGAAGCAAATACTGATTTCTATCCGTGGAAATTCTCATGAATACCAATCGATTACAAAATGTAATTTCTTCAGTACCACACAGCATTAAAACCAGTGACCAGTTAAAGTTCTGCTCCCTAAACAAGAAACTATATGCACTCTTTAGTTAATTAAATAAAGGGAGGGAGGAAAGGTTATTTTCATGTCTGCATTAACTTGTCATTCTGCGTGCAGAGGTTTAATTCTACACTGTACGCTTCAGGCTCTAACCGTCACAAAGAGGCCGCGCGCTACTTTAGCCCTCTAGCTAACGTCAATGTGTCTTCTGCTGGCGAAAACAGCTTTTTAACTTTAATGCTAACGTCATTTTGAAGAGAGAGTTAGCTAACCGACTAACGACACGCTAAGAACTATGTGAGCACAAACATGGCTCAGTTTACATGTTGAATCATGTAGCTATTCTATAACAGAACAGTTTAGCGTGTAAGCTATTTTTAGTGTCACCAGCCTCTTCACACACTGATGGTTTTCTTTTTCTTGCTTTTCACTGACAGAAAATATTTTTAAAAATTCCTTTATATGTTAATAAAATAATCACCTAATTTGGATTCCAGTCGGAATGGAGTAGATGAACTGAAATAAACCAAAAAAACACATTTGAAGGGAAGTGTCTCAGATGGCAATCCTTGTGAATGTATTACAGTGTTTAACATGTTGAATCTGAATGTATTTCCCACTCATGGTTTTTGCTGTAATGCGGAGCTATGAATTCAGCTACCTAATTTTTCTGAAATTAGCAAGCACATCGCACATAGTGGCAGTCTCGCTTCTGCTGTGGAGAGAAGGATCAATTCATTTAAATATCGACATTAGATTTACCAGCTGTGGTGCAGCGGCTTTCACTCGTCCTGTAATTTTGAATGAGTGGAAGTGACTCCAGAGGATCCACAAAACGTTCGATACACAATGTGCCGCTTTGGATGTCTCGATCGTAATAAGCTAAAGTGACAGAAGCTCGGAGGTTTGTGGTGTTTGGGCCCCCCTCCTCTCCTCCCTAACGTGTCCATCAGGCGTGGCGCTAGATTGAATAAATCAATCATACGGACTTGACACACTGCATGAACTCATGTCGTCGTCTGTCTTGAAATGTATTTGTACTAAAAACAAAAGGTACAATGTTTGTTTCTCATTTTATGTACAAAGAAAGGGCAAAGCAACACATTTTGTAAATATATTTTATGTACAAATTTCAAACTATGATAACTGTGGATTTTGTTTAGTTGGATGATTTTTTTTGTTAAATAAATAAAGCTTTATTTATCTTTCCTCTTCCTGTTTTTCAAATGTACAGTCATTTCTCTCAAATAAATGAATATGTTGTTTGTCACGCAATGATGATACTTCCCATCCAGAGAGGATGTTTTCTGTTTTTTCTGCTATTGGGTTCTTGATCTTGCAAGTTTTTTAATTTTTTTTTTTAATATGCCTCCGTGGCACCCTTTTTAACTTGGAACCGCCATACCCCTCCCCCCACGTGTCCGTTATATATATATATATATGGTTCCGTCTCCTTTTAAAAAGTCAGTTAGACCCCTAAACTCCATCTTCAAAATGTTCAAGCTCGAGTACATTTCCAAGCTGTAATCTTAAATCATAGCAGCATCTACTGGCAAAAGGAAATCAACTAGGATATTTTGATATAGTTAGTTGACTGGGGGCTATTGCACAAAAGTAGAATAAAGAAATCCAGGAGAAGTGAAAGTGCAGCTTGACTCAGTGTCTTAATCGGTTGCACGTTTGCCGAGCCGGGATGAGAAGGGGGAGCTCTTGACAGTGCGCGTCCACGGCTTTTTTCTTAAGTAGTCCATCAGATTTAAGAAATGGAGAAGACACACACGGCATATTCTTCTCCTCCTGAGCAGCAACTAATTATGGTAACTAATTATGGTGAAGCATTTAATATACAAAAAAGGGAAAACGGCAGCTGTAACAGAGAAAAGCCCTGGCAGACAATCACGGACCGACTGAATGCGGAAGGATTTAAAAACATCTACTTACTAGGAAAGTTGTAGACTGTTTTCAATATGATTGTTTTATCTGTTGGTTTTATAATTATGTCTTTATGTGCTAAATGTGCTGGTTTTACTGTAAAGTGTGAGTAACCTACCATGGAAAACACTATACAATGTATTATTTAAAAAGTAAGCAGGGGGAATTAATGTTCCTCAGGAAATTTACCCTAAAGACTTATTTCAAACAACTATATGCACAAATATCTATAAACTGTGTCTAATTCTAAATATATTTCTAAAATTACTGTTCTTACAGAACAAACATGACTGGACAAAAATATCCTGGCAACAAGTCGATCAAATATAAAATCATTTTGCAGGCTGGAAAGTGCCTCAGCCGTTTTAACAGGTTTTGTGCCATACAGGACCTGCTGTCAACTCTCAGAAGTCAGGAGTAAAAGAAATGCATGAATCCAGCTGTAAACCTGAGATTAAAACAGAGTAGACCTGAGGAAGATTAATGCATTAATTTTATGCACTTTATTATTCTGCCATTCTAAATGAAAACGTCATCTCAATTCATTTTACCATTTAGTGCATTGATTTTAAGTACTGTCATGCTGTCGCTCGTTTGAGAACTTTTCATGTCACACTAAAACACAGTAAATGAATGTTCGCCGACCTAAAGTGAGACATCATCCTTGAAATCCAAGCACTACAGACTTCATAAAAGTGAGTTTATTTTCACTGGTCAAAACACACACACACATCTTAATGTTTTTTCCTCTAAGAAGTTCCTTCAATTTTTCCACATTGTTTAAAAGTCCTTCGTTCACCCAAAAACACTTGAAATTCTAAAAACAGGCGCAGAGTATTTCTGAGCATCTCTTCACTTCTGCTGAAATCCAAGAAGTGAGGCCCCGCCCTCTCTCTGCAGTCTCCTCACGCTTGGCAAGGGGACAGCGCCGGGGGACACCGTGTCACAGAGACAATGCATCAGTGTCCTGCAGAATTCTCGTGGGTCCTTTCTGTGCCATAGTACCAGCCGTGTAGTGAAAGCTGGTGTGATCTCCCGCATGTACCAGACATCCCATACCTCTGGGACAGCGTAGGACACGTCACTGCTATCCAATGCATTGATCAATATCAAAAGTGCATAGGGGTTACAGAAAAATACCACATTTCACATCATTCAGTTAGGGCTCAGCTCCTGGTTCACAACGGCTCTTTGGCAGTGAAGCTTTCTGCAGGTAACGCTGTGCACGAGGCGACAGCTACTCGTACACTTAAAACACAACAGCACTGAAAGATGCTCCTGGTAACACAAGCAGGACACCTGCAACTTAAGACGTTCAGATCTGTCATTTGTGCATTTCAATTTCTACAGAAAAAAAATCCACAACCAGCGTTTCCTGTGCATTTTACTGTAATATTTCTGGAGGTAAAGACAAAGAATTGTTTGGAAAGCACGGAAGAATGTGTTTAAAAGTTGTTTCTTCTGTTCTTGACCAGGTTCCACCAGCGGACATCTACTGCGTCTCCGACTTGAAGATATTTGGTCTTTTGTTGGATGCAGCCTCGTCCCACAGAAATGATACGACGGGTTGAAACACTTTAACACTTTGCCTTCGAGAAGAACTCCCAGTCACCAAACAATAGGTAGCGTATAGAGACAGAGCGCATTCAAGTCCCGCCCACACCCACAATGCATCGCTCTGATCTGATTTGTGTGAAGGTGTCACACACATTTATATTGGAATTAACAAGGTAAGAGGCAGAGAGAGAGATTCTTTATTCGGTAGAATTGGACTAACTTTGTCTTTTGTAGACTGGATTAGTTGCCTCACATTTTATATAAATGATTTATATAGTCTATAAATCCAACTTAACTTCTGTCAGGACTGATATAAAATAAAATAGATTTTAGAAATAGATAGAATAGAAATAGATTTTGCTCTCTGGTAGAAAGCGATGCCAAAAGAATCCTCAGTCATCACGATTTAAAGGCAATGCTGAAAATGAAGAAAATAGCTTCGCTTTGGATAGAAGCTAAATGACCTGTAATACTCTGCTTCATGAAACCATAAACTCCTGTTTAATAGTGTAGATCAAGTCCTTGTCTCGTCGACTTCCATAGAATCACAGGAGTCGACTCCTGCTGGTCAGACTTCCCTCATCAGAAACTAGTTAGCATGTTAGCCATATTAGCTAACCGCTCCAGTGGCCGTGGTTCAGTGACCTCATGTCTTTGTGGGCTCAGGCTGGAGACCAGAAGATCTGATGCCAACAGATCCTCTCGTGGTTACAGATCTTAATAAAGCGCCAGCATCAATTCTTCAGTCCAATATCTGAAGTTCTATTTAACTGGTTTGTGGCAGAGCAGAAAACCAGAGGTCTCACTGCAGTCACATGTATTGATTTGTTGTGTGCGGCTGTGGAGTTTAAAATAGCTGCCCGAGCGTCACTAGTAGCTGATTCCTCCCGTTTGAGGGGACTCACATTAAACATTGTGCTGTACAGAACTCTGTGAATGTGGAACAACACAGCAGAGCTCAGACGTTTGCTCAGTGAGTTCGTACTAATGGAAACACTTAGTGGCGTCAACATGATCACTTTACTCATCGTACCAACTGTCCATTGTGTTCTCAAATGCACGTACAAAGCCTCTAATAGAAGCCCACACATAACAGTCAGGGAATGTTTCATTTACAGCTCGCAAGGGGGGGAAAAAATCTCTTTTGGTAGTTTTAAAAACGCATGAAAAGAGAAAAAAAAGTAGTGAATTTAGAACTAAAACATTAAAGAAACACACAAACCTCTTGCCATAAAAAAAGAAGCACTCAGCGACGTGCGTCCATCCAGAGCCTGTTTGAGGAGCCTCACACGGAGAGGAGTGTGTGTGTGTGTGTGTGTGTGTGTGTGTGTGTGTGTGTTGCTGTTACACCGCTCAGGGCTGATCCACAGTCCGTGAGGTGCAGCTTTTGTTTTTTGCCCCCTGGTCCTGTGTGGAGCAGCAGAAGATCCTCCCCCAGCGGACAATCGATGCCTGAAAGAGACGCGAGGAAAGATTAGGGCCGCACAGCACGCGGTAGCCACTTTTCTTTATCCGCCGCTACTGTTTTAGCGCCGTCACGTGAATTTGATCGGATTTCAAATAAATTCATAAATCCACCAGCTTTCATTTTCCCCCTTGATCATCTTTCAAAGATTTGGGCTGAAAGACTAAAAGAAAAGAAAAAAGCAGCTAAAAGGCGTTTAACCTACTTCATATTTACTTGGTATTAGTTTCTACATTTAAATGAACTTTAATTCATGAACTCAATAAGGAGAACAGTTTGTCTGATTTCCTCCATCAAACGTAACGGGGAGGAAATGAAGGACGGACTGAAGTGGTTTAGCTTTCAGACATCCAGGCGACCTGAAATCAGACCAAGTATCTTTTCTTTAAACTAAGCTAGTCTGCTAAACTTGATGATTCTACTGTTTTAAGTTGGGTTTATTGCTAGTTTGCTTTAGCTCTTGCCGTTTCTTAGTGCCAGTTCTTCTTCTTCTATCTCTGCTCGGTTTGACGCAATCTAACTTCGTTTTTCCTTTTCTTCTGACTTGAATCTTTAAACTCTGTTTGTCAAAACACCACATGGTGATTGTAGTTTTGCATTTTGAGGAGTTTCTGCTGAGGCCAAACAACCTTTTGTCTCCTGGACGCCGGGGGACTGGTCAGCGCAGCAGAGTGGAGGTTAAATTAGTATCAGACTTCCACTGACGAGGGAGTAGTTAACTAGGTACCGGTGGCTCATCCAGTTCTAACCATGGTGCTCAGGTACCAGGCTGTGAATGGATGGGGTCCAGCTTACATCCAGGACCTGGTCCAACCCGACATCCCGACCTCTGACCTCTCCGCTCTGCATGTGATAAACTGCTTGTTCCTCCTCACTGAGAGCAAAACACTCGACTAGATCTCCACTCTTTGCTGTCCTGCTCCTAAATGGTGGAAGGAGACATCAGGACCACAGAGAGCCTTCACATCTTCAGACTAAAGACACACCTCTTCACACTCTACCTCCACTAACACACTAACTAACTGCAGCACTTACATTGGACTTATGATGGTTCTTATCTACAGCAAGTTGGACATCGGCTTATTTGAGGCACTTTCTTGTTCTTCTGAGTTTCAATTCAATTCATTTTATTTTGTAGAGCCCAAAATCGCAAAGTACTCAGAGGGTTTTACAGTCTGTACACATACGATACGAGTTTGTACCCTATGGTTGAAATGCACTTATTGTAAGTTGCTTTGGACAAAAGAGTCAGCTAAATGACATGTGATGTAAAGTGATGTAAAGTGATGTAATGTGATGCAAAGTGATGTAATGTGATGTAAAGTGATGTAATGTGATGTGATGTAAAGTGATGTGATGTGATGTCGGCCGGCCGACTCTTCAGCTGTAAGTATCACCGGCGGATCTCTCTCCTAGTAACGTAATCCTCATCTCATGTTCTTACAGATGTCTCTCCGACAGAAAGCTTAATCCCAACAAAGACTCACCCAAACGCCAACGAACCACACAAGTACACATCCATGTCTGACTACAGTGTGTGTGTGTGTGTGTGTGTGAGGGGTCTTCAAGCTGAACTCCCACGTAGTTGTTCTTAGTTCTTCAAGGTGGCTGCGCTGAGGAAAGAGAACACAAACATCTCCTGGGGGAGTCCCGTGCTCGTTTGGTCAGTTGACGGTAATAATGGTTTCATGGACGGGGTCAAGTGGAACACCTGGAGAGTCCCATGTGAACACCAACGGCGCCCGTCAATCAGCGCGGACCGCTCTCATTACTGGTACCGTAAATGAGTCACAACTGCAGCAGGAGCCAAATGGGTTTTTAATGGGCTGTTGATGATAAATAAATCATAACCATTAACAAAAAAGGTGCCCACGCTGCCTACAAGCTGCCATCAGTGAGGCTGAGTGGGGACCCACGGGAGGCGGCCGCCGCTCTGCTGGAAGCGGTACGAAATTCCAGTAAGATCCATCACAAATGTTTATTGTCACATCTTAAAAACAGAGTTGAGGTCAGAAGGTAAAAGCAAACCAGCTGGAGGACGAAGACGTGTTTGCATATTTAAAGATGTGAGCAGCTGCGAATAGGATGGACAAGAAGCTTCTGGGACTCAGCTTCCATAACATGAATATTTGAAGGGGTGAGGAAGGCGAAGAGGAAAGATTGTGGGAGGAAGAGGGTTGGGGGGGGCTGAGGATGAACGAGGGTACGCATCAGTGGGTGGGTTAGAGAGGATATTTCAGTGCTGCAGTCCCACTGCACGGCTTCTTTTTCCCACTTGAAGGAGAACAGGAGCTTCCTCACAGCGCATTATGTAACACAGATGCCTCACGGAGCGAGCGTGACCCCCACATTGACTAGACCCACCGCACCGCCCTGACGGAGAGAGAAAGGAGCTGCTGTGGCATTTACTTAACCCCGATCCCAATTAATGGCGTTCTGGGAATCAACAACATGACAGTCGGTTGAGTCCTCAGCAGCCTGAGGGAGATCATGGAGGGGGAAGCAGAGCTCGCACACGTCTCAAGACTTCCCATCGGAATCAAAAACAAAACGAGCTAAAAAGCTCCATTGGAATGGATGGATTTCTGCAGCCCCACTGCCTCGCTTCAACACAGCCACACGTTGGAAGCTTCAACTCGATTCTCTGAGTGCAGGCTTCCTGCACAGGCTTCCAATGGCGTTTGTCGCTTTCAGTTCAAAGTTCTGTGCGACTGAAGTCGAGGAGGAGTTTAGGTCTGAAGGAAAATGCACAGGAGAAAAACAAAGAAGGGAGGTTTCATGTTGACGTCATGCGCCGCTGTGCACGCGCGAGAGGGGAGGACGACGGGCGCCGAATTCAGCCGGGCTGTTCGCCGCGCCACAGCAAACGCTGAGGTTTGTACGGAGCAGCTGCAGACCTGGGAGACCTGCGTAGTCTGGAGAGGCAGCCGGTTAGAGAAGAAACTCTACAAGTCTGCTGCTGCATCGGGGTTTGAACTAAAATGGTTCGTCACTGCAGCGACCGTCTGCTACGGGTTCCGCTTACAAATGGGCATGAAACTGTTAGTTATTTGTAAAATGCCAAATGACTATTTATTGTGTTTGTACTGACCATTGTGAGGGTGTTCGTTTGTTACATTGAAGCTGTTGGACTTTGAACTACATTTCAACAGCTCATTTCGAACTCAAGTTAATTATTTAAAGGATTTGTTTTTTACATGTTAGAAAATGAAGAGAAAAGAAGTGGAAACGTATCTAGTGGACTCAGTCATTCAGTGGAACCCAGTGAACCTAAAATCTCCATGTAGATAAATTTCAGTCCCTTTTTTAAGTTGTGGAAACGTGCATCAAGTAAAACACTCTGCACGGACTCTCTAACCTACTTTATATTTACCTGGTAGTAGTTTCTACATTCAAAGTAACTTCATGGAACCAATGAGGAGAACTCAAGTCAGTTAGGCTTTTTTTCTGCTTCTGCACTGAATCTTGTGAATTGCAGCGAGTCCACGTGGCATAAATCTGCTGTAAATCATGGTCAGTCCCCATTATAACAGGGGGGCGTCCCCCCGCCCCTGAAAGGACTCCACCCACAATGACATGAAATACGTCCGTGTGCAGCGGGGCAGAGAGCACCAGAGGGACTCACAACCCCCCCTGACTGCGACGCAACAGCCCTGGATATTAAGTCACAGCTCCATTAGCACAAGAGTTGCCTCAGAACTGTTGACTCATCTTAGGAACTGGCTGGTTTTCAAGTGGTGAAGATGGTCCCACAGACTTTAGTGGAGATGCAGTAGGTGGAAACCCGCGTTATTTACGTTTATGTTCCACGTGTGTTTTGGTTTGGATCATTTTACTGCCGTAGAACGCGGTGAGAAGTGTACCTGGGATGATCCCGTCAGGCCGGCAGGTGCTTCCATGTGCTGACGAAGGCGGTGGGGATGAGCGAGTAAGGCACCGTGGTGATGGAGTTCCAGCTGTCCGACGTGGGGTCGTAGCAGTCCAACGTTTTACACCGCTGCGTCCCGAAGTAACCGCCCACCACGTACAGCTTGTTCCCGGAGGCCACGGCGTGGCAGCTCATCCGCTTCGAGGTCATGTCCCCGACCCGGGTCCACTGGTTGGTGTCGCAGTCGAAGCGGTAGGCGGAGACGGCGGTGAATTCGGTGTCGCCGCCCATGATGAAGATCTGGCTGCCCAGGACAGCGGCCGCCGTGTAGCGCCACGGCTGGGGGCATTCGGCCGCGATGTTCCAGCGGTTACCCGCGGGGTCGTAGCACTGGACCTGGACAGGGCGCACACGTGGGGGAGCGTCGGCGTCAGATGGGAGCGTGGACTCAATTTAGCCAGAAACTGAATTGTGGGATTATAAGGAAGGTCGACGTACAAATCCACCGACCTTGGAGGCCTTGTCTCTGTGAATGGTCGTCCCCCCGAAAACAAAGAGCTTGAGTTTGGCGCTGACCACGGCAGCGTTGCTCACGCCGTCCCTCAGAGGAGCCATCATGGTCCATTTGTTGCTGAGGGGGTCATACCTCTCCACCTACGGGGACATTACACGGCCGGTTTTATTTCTCATTAGCAAAGTGAGACCAGCAGCCAGATCGATTTTGCATGATAATAATAATAATAATTATGTATCGCTCCGCTGTCACAAGGGCCGATACAGGAGGTCATTCCTGCAAAAACACTTTACAATAAATCATCCCTGGCTGATAACAACCCTGTACTGCTGTGATGCTGCTGCTCTTCCTCTTCTCCTTTTACTAATTATTATTATTGTCTCTTTTGGAAGGTTATTTTTTTGTTTCAGTTTCAGTTTATTTAATTTAATAATTTAATATTTTTATCTTATTATAGTATATCTTTTTATTCTATTTCCTTCCCTGTACATGCTGCTGTGATACCAACATTTCCCTCTTGAGGGATCAATAAAGTATACATCTATCTAATATTACAGGCTGTATGCATTTGTCTACAAATGTATGTGTCACTTTCACACACGTTCTGCATTCATCAGGATTCATGTATAATATGTACACAATTATCCACTATGGAGGAGGAGCGTTTGGGTTGTTCCCCAACGACGGTTCAACACTTCCCTGCACGGTGGATGATTCCTGAGCTGCTGTTTTTACTATTAACACAACGAGTATGAGCGCGTGGATTTAAAACCATATGAATTATTTCAAACGCATCTTAAATTAACCACATGAACATATCAATATTCAAACAATCAAATTATTTCTCCTGATAAAAAGTCCTCACCTGTTTTAGGGAGACGGATGGAGAAGCAGGAAAAACTCCCGCTATGGCCGTATGACCTCCGACGACGTAGAGACTATTCTCCAGCTCGGCGGAACCGTGGCCGAACCTGGAGAGCAGAAAAAAATAAATCACACGCCAAGATGTTTAAGATCAGAAAAAGAAAATTGTGGGATCCTTTCCTACGCATTCGTTAGCTTGGCCACGTTCAGGCAGATCATTGATATATAAACTAAATAATAAAAAGGGATCCAGCACTGACCCATGCGGAACCCCTATTTAGCATTTAAAGACGCCGATCAACAGTCACTGCAAAGTCAAGGTCATTTGACAACTAATTATCAGCAGATCACACTCCATAGTGGTGGAGAACTATGAAAGGTTCACTGTATGAAAGGTGTCTAGCTCGCCTGGCTATTAGCATGGGCGCTCCTTTAGACCACTCCTCGTGGACGGTGTCATAGATCCAGACGTCTTTAGAGACGCCGTTCTCAGACCCTCGTCCTCCGGTGACGTAGACCTTGCAGCCGATGGCGCACGCACTGAACTCCTTCCTGGGGCTGGGGAGCTCTGCCTTGGGAATGATCTCCTTGGCTTTGTGGTCAACCTAAAAAACAGGTCATCAAACAACAGTGGGTGTGAGGGTGTGAGCGCAATATTGGTTCAGGTCAATGAAGAGAAGATTGCTGTGGGTGAGTCTTCTGAGAACAGAAAGGTCAACGATTGGTCTGCAGTTCTACATCCATCAGCTACGTCCTCTGCCCGAGTATAGATGTGAGATCTATGGTTTCATTTTGCATATTAACTGAGTATTAATGGATATTAACTGAGTGTTCACATTATTTCTTTAATCTGCGTTATGGATTAACTTGTTCTTATTTTATTCAATTGTTTACTCGGTCCATCTTGGATGAGAGATCCCTCCCCGAGGTTTGATCACCAAAACCAATACCTGCCACGTAATTACATTTAAGCGAGCATCACACACTCGATGCGTAGTCGTTTAGGTCCTTCACCTGGTATATCTTGTCACACATGAAGGTCTGGCCTCCCAGTATAAGCAGCGTGTGGCCAGCCTTACGCGGCCGAGCACAGGGACTGGTCACTACTCCATCGTTCTGGAGGATTTTCTTCTTGCACTGCATTGCCTCTTCGACGATTGACCTGCAGGGGAAAGTTTACACCACTTGAGATGAAGACACTTGAGTTGCATAATGAGTTTCTGAAACACTTAATTCTCCATCAGCGGCTGACATGTCTCGACTTGTCTTTGAAGTGTCCTTCAAAGACAAGTCTACGTTGCACAGTGGACCACTGCCTCAGATGTAAAACCTCTGGATAAGAACTGAGAGTGGATAAGTAGAAAGAGAAAAGGGAGAGCAGAGGAAAGGAAGGCGAGGGGGAAAGAGGAGAGGGAGGGAAAGGGGAGAAGAGATGAAGGAAACCAGAAAAAGGACAGAAGTAAAAGTAGAGGAAACAAGAGTAGAAAACAGAAACATTATTAAAAAGGTGTTGACAGGACAGAAAGAAAATGGAGATGAGGGACAAAAGTGTGAAGAAGGAAAGAGGGAGATAAACGGGGATAAGAGTCCATCACATGACGGAATTTAAAGATATTGATTCAACCTTACAGACCCGCGCACCATATTAAGCCCCTAATGTGGATCAGTAATCTCAAACTAAACAGTGTTTCCTTATGAGCTGCAGGGGATTCCTCATCAGGCTTGCGGTGCCTCGTGCTCTGTTGTTGTTGGTGTAACTTGAGTTTGAACACTGCAAGGAGAGCGGGTGGGACCGGCGTTATGCAAGCAGCGTCTTCTGGTGTGTTTTTGTAATCTCGGGTTGCACGTTGGAATGGAGATCTTATTGTATTGATTCATGCAGCCCCTGGAAGAAGCACACCTGCTCCTTTTGTCCGCCATGACCAGCTCTTCACAGGCCACGGCCTCCAGCAGGCACTCGGAGGGCAGCAGCGCCAGCCTGACGCCCCTCAGCAGCTCCGGTAAATGGTGACGCCGACCCTCCAGGTCGTACCGGAGCCAGCGCATCACGGAGCTGAACACCACCTGCCGCATGCAATATAGATCATGTTCAGAACAGGAGCATTTAGCTGCCTCAGACGCTGTTGCTATTACACGCTGCTGTAATGGACAGAACCAAATGCATTTGGTTGCCGGTTACTGGTCCTTACGAATAATTGTCAACAGATAGAAGAAGATCAGGGAGAGAAACAGGGAACGGCACCACTCACCTGCTCATCTTCGATCTCCAGCTCGTCGCTGAGGATGAGCTCCAGCAGCTTTTCTTTAGAGAGGCTGTAGAAATCCTCAGATTCTCTCACCTAAAAAGGACAAACACACAAGATCTTGAAAAAAGAATTGTACAATACACCTGCTTGAGTTATTGGAGGGAGATGAAGACAGCTACCGGCTGTAATTTAGTCATCTATGACGGCACACAGAAATGTGTAAAAAGCCTACCGAGTACTGAGGAGGAGAGCTGCTGTCTGCGGACGTAACGGAAAGCTGTGTCACAACACCAACAATGCAAAGACTCCTCACCGTCTCGTAGTGCAGCAGACACATCCTCCACGACAGCTCGTACAGCCTTTTGCACTGATGGGCGTCCGACAGCAGCATCATCCCCAGGCAGTTGGAGGAGTGCAGGTTCTTCTCCAAGAACTCGGCTGCGGCGTCCCGAATGTCGTGGAACTGCAGCATGTCGCCGGCCTCCAGCAGCGACTCGGCGTTCTCCTCGTTGATGATGACTCGAGACGAATAGGCAAAGTCCAGCAGGAGCTCCAGGACCTGAGAAAGTCAAACCGCTGTAGGACAATACGCTCGTGGCACAGCGGCTCATTCCATGGAGGCTGCGTGGGGTTGCTTGAACGCTGGATTTTTACATAGAATCGCTTGGTTTTGGCCAATAATTCACGATTAAACAGTTTAAAAAAAGAACTAATGTGCTGTCATCAATGTCCTCAGTGTGTGTGTGAATAAATCAGAATCACACTAAGTGGCATATAAATGCGTCTTAGCTTATTTCCTCAGCCAATTCCAGCTTCATCAAAGATACATTTTCTTTTTAAAAAGTGTGACTGACAGGAAGGATCCAGAGCTTTTTGTCTGAACCACAGTCCCGTACCAGCAGAGCCGTAATGATTTGGAAACGCAAGATAAATAAAAACTCGACATTAATAGATTTAATCAAAAAAAAATTCTACATTGTAGAAAAGATTTAATATACTATGAAGGAAGATGGGAAGATTAGGGAGTCAATAACCAACACAATCAATAGAGAATAATCGACAAATACTCAGACCAGTAAGACCTGACCGAGCAAGACACCCAGAAACTGCTGCGATGGGCCCGTAAATAGAAAAAGAACGGCTAACGGCAGCAGCACCTCGGGGTGAATGCTGTCTCGGAAGTTGACGTCGCTGTCCAGACTCTCCCGTAGCCCTCCGCTGAACATGGCCTCAAAATACCTGCTGCACGCCGCCAGGACGACCCTGCGAGACACAGACAGTTGAGACGCCGGCGTTGAAAAGCACAAATGTTTGTTGGCGTGCGGGTTTACCTGTGGCACGGAAAGGAGCGATCCCCGGCCCACAGCGTGACGTCGGTGAACATGCACTGCTTCCGCAGCGTGTTCAGGTGGGTCAGGACGCTGTCGGGGTGCGACGGCTTGTGGAACAGCGAGATGTTCATGGAGCCCGTGCTGGTGCGGGACTTGCGATTCTCGTGGACGGTCACCGACATGGCGGCCGCGTACGGCCCTGCCAGGTCACTCGCACTGCCAAGTGGCGACGGGCAGGAGGAAGCGGCGGAAAGACCAGTCAGCTGGCATCATCACACCTGGGAAGCAGAGCGTATCGACACACAGCGTGAGCTTCATCCCGTACCGCTCTGAGCTTGGGTTGGATCCTGACTCGGCTAGAAGCACTAAACTCGACAAAAGGAGGTCATTCATTTCAAAGAAAAGAAAGGAAGAAAAAAAACACACGTCCAATTTCTTTCACACATCGATGGGCGACTTGCGTAAACAATGCTGGGATGGGGGCGTTTCAGGTCAAAGTTCATACTCGTGGAGAACGGGCTGAAAGTCCACCCGTGTATCAAATCCCACGTTTGCTGGAGTTGTGATTCATTCTGCAATACACACAGTACCAATGTATTATTTACTCAAAACTGAACGCAGTTCCGCAAAAACTACTAAAAAAAACACGGCAGATAGAGAGAGAATTAGAGAGACGTGACCAGCGACAGTCAACTGTCGCACTTTTCGGATGGGTTTGTAAAAGAAGCGGTGGTTCTGCAGGGCTTCCTTCCCTGTGTGTGTGTGTGTGTGTGTGTGTGTGTGTGTGTGTGTGTGTGTGTGTGTGTGTGTGTTTGTGTGTGTGTGTGTGTGTGTGTGTAAAGTCTGCAGAGTTACATACTTAACAACTATTCAAAGACCTGTTGAAGTAATAAACACATTCAAGTTGCATTGAACGATATAAGGGAAGGTGGGCGGTACCACAAATGGTTGATTGACATCACAATTCAGGAATTTAAGCAATCTTAATTTCTGAAAGACAACAATATGGCCACATTTGCTGAGAAGCGCTGCGTACTCAGGAGTCCTTTGTGGCGAAAGGAAAAACTACACTTACAGGCAGAGCAACTTTGTTACGGTACAAAATGCTACGTGTGTCATCATTCCCGAATTCAATATTTAAGAGAAAAACTCAATTATATTCATTACAGCGGATCCAACATGACTACTAATCAACGGGTACGGTGCTTGTTTATAAAGTCCTCTTGGATCAAATGTTTTGTGGGAAAATCTAAACTGTTTTTCATGGATGCAGGAGAGTTTACAAGCGTCACTCCTCAAAATCTAACTATGAGAATTACCGGAGGATGTCCAGTGAATTCAACGCCATGATGGCTCTTTATTCTACAAAAGGAAGAGCAGTTTCTTTATCTCCCTGCCTGCTTCTCGTATCCTCTGTCAGCGGTTTCTGTGCATCATGCGAACACTCAGCGTGGAGCCTAAAGTGATGCCATAAAAGTACTGGCTGTCAGCGGTTGGGAGACATCCATCAAATGAATAATCGAACCCACCTCAAGGCAAAGAATGGAGGACAGTTCTTAATCAAAATAAGGGATGCCTTATGAAGACATCCTAACTGTGTGTACCTCTTAACATGCACAGACTCACACACAGGACACCACTTCCTTTGCCTGTAAATCCACCAAGACGTCACCGTGGTTCAATGCAATAAGAGACTAGAATGAGCGACCCTTACTGGAACAAGCAATAGTAGTAAGAAGAAGAAGAATTAAAGCTGCGAGCAGCGTTGGACGGGTCCTCGCAACTCTGCATGTCGGGGAACCGGCCGGACGGCTAAAAACGCAGCCGAGAACCCCTGCGGCCGTCGGACAAAGCGCCCAAGAGTCAGTCGTCGTTAACCGCCCGCGTGGAGTGACGCGAAATGTCATAGACCACCAAACCTTCTGTTAAATCACATTCACAAGCCTTATAATCAATTTCAGATGGTATTTAAAAAGGAAACGACCAACAGCTACATGATAATTCCACTTCAGGTTCATAGTGCACATCCCCAAGGTGTCTATCAGGGATAACCAGCACATTCTGATGCACCGTTCGAAAATACCATACATGGGCGAGTTTGCTTCAAATTCTCCATCACAGGACTATTTTTGGTCAATTTGAGATTAGAATTAAAAGGAAACTATCAATAGTTACAAAATCATTTCACTTCAGACCAGTAGTACACATCCCCAAGGTGTCACGCAGGGATAAGCAGGACATTCTGATGTACTATTCCAAAATGAAAGCCTCTCAAAATGCCGTCCATGAGCCAAAATATCAATCTCAAGGCTGGATCTGGTCAATTTCAGATTATATTTAAAAGGGAAAATCAATAGTTACACAGTATTACCACTTCAGGCATAGAGTACCCATTCCCACGGTGCCACTCGGTGATAACCAGGACAGATGTATCGAGATTAAAGCCTCTCGAAATGCCACCTTCGTTTTTTACTGGATACTAGAAAATTTGACTTTCTGTTACCAGTAGGTGGCGCTATGACATGATTTAACTTTGCATCTCTTCAGGCCCAGAGTGTCATCAAACTTGTGTAACTTGGAAAGAATCCGATGATGTCCAGTAGAGTTACAAAGGTTTAACTGTTCTACGGTTTAGTTGTTCTTGGCGAAGGATCAGCTTTGCCGATGCACCTTCTCGCCACCGATTATCGGATTCTTATAATGTCCACAGTGAAGCATTATCAACGTCTTAGATCTCAGATTAACCTGTGAGGAGCAGGGTGTAAACTAAAAAAAACATCCAATTTCCTGTTTTCCCCAGGTGGCGCTATGACTAAGGTTAAAAAGGAATTAAAAAGTTCATGCTATATGAGAAATATGGAGCAGACTAGATAAAGTGTGGTGGAGTTAAAACGAATTCACTTTTCATGCCAAATGGTGGTTTTTCAAAAATGCTCCCTACACACATAGTTTGGTATTTCTTCCGGCAAAATACAAATTTTTAAAGCTGAGGTCCTCGAGATCACACTTCCTTTTTGGCCTACGAAAATGGGCCAAAAAGGCAGATTTTCAACGATTAATAGTAGTGCAGCGCCCCATATTGTTCAAATATTCTCAAAAAAACAGGGTGTGTTCAGGGGTTCAAAGTTCACATGTGTTGTAGTTTTCTGAGGACAGGCCAAAGCGTTTGGATTAAGCCGCACCGCTTGTTCTTTAGCCCAGAGCTTCTCAAAGGAAGAAGATATCAACAAGATATGTTTTACCTTTCTAGGGGGCGCTATGGAGACATTTCTTTGTACCCAAATGCGAGACCCCAAAAGTATCAAACAGTCCAGATATACATGCCACATTTAAATACTTTTGGAATATGATAAAGGCCTCAAAAAGGCATTTGATTTGTGAGAATAATAATGAAATACAATAGGTTCCTCTACGACTAGTAATAAAAGAGCTGAAGTCAAACAGAGCACATGCATTCATGCGGGGATGAGACGGGATGTCCACGGAGACACCTGGTTACGGCATTACAACCGGTAACTAGCCACCGTAAAAAGGTCAGTGACCCAGAGACGAGGAAGTGGGACTAGCGGAGGCTACACGAACCGGGTCCGAACAGAGAGGTCGATCCGCGGGGCAACGGCCCCTCGTCCGCCCGAACAGAGTTTTAACGAGGAAAGTTGCTCGCAGTCAACTTCCGAGAGCCGAGAAGCAAAACGGCTCCTCGGCTCGACCAGCAACTACACGCGTCTCTTCCAGAACTAACTAGGGAGAAAAAACCCCACAAACAAGTGAGGCGAGTCCCTCCTGGACGGTTCGGGGACCCGAGGTGGCGCCCGCTCCGCTGCCGGTGGCCATTCGAAGCCCTTCAACTTACCCCGCGTCAACTCAACTGCTGCGAGCGACGACGTTTTTAAGGACTTAATGAGGAGTTTACGCGACGCTCCGGAGTGGGCATCAGCCAATACAACCCCAACGTCAAATGAGCTCATTATCTTTACGACAATATAACGCCGGTAACTGACGTTAGCGTTACGCTACTGGTGTCTGCGTCTCACTGCCCAACTACGAACACGGATCGATGCTGTACTCACGTGTAAGATACTGGGTTAAATCCTGAGAACGTGTATCTTCGTTGATATAAACATTATTTTTCTGTGACAATCACTGGAGTGCTCATTAGCATTTTTAGCCGTCTCTGCTTGTCTGACTGGTTTAGGATGATAGAAAAAAAAAATAAACACACAACGCTAAAGCAAAATCAACAGCCAATGACTGGGGGCGAATCGTAACCGACGTCTGTCTAGCCAATCGCCAGTCTAACCCGGTGCAAACTGGCGTCTAATCCAATGAATGGAGGGGAGGCGGGGCTTCAGAGGCTTTGCCGAGGATGACTGACATTTAGGTAGACCAATCCTCACGACTCCATTTATACAAAACCGACCCAACGACCAATAAACCGCAACAATATATAGGGAGGTATTTCAACGTCAATATTAGCCAATAAGCTAAGGGGAGAGGTGTTTATTGATGGCGGCAGTGAAACAGTACCACGTTGGGCTCAGAGAGCTGAAACCAGGATAAGGGATTAAACTGGGATATTCGGGTTATGTTGGATGAATTTAGTTTTGACTTGACTTGGGTTGTAGTCGCGCGCTCTGTCCGCTGGTGGGTGAAACTGCGCACTGAGGAGTGTTCAATTGTATATATATAAAGTCCCATTCGCCTGTTTCTTGCACCATGATGCCCATTTCTCAACCACGTGTTGGATGAAGAAGCACTGATACTGAGATGTGCTTTCAGACATTGGCGGATGTTTGGGGACAGATCAGACCAGCGTGAAGCATCTCACCATCTCACAGATGTCTGTATGGCACTGAGCTTTGCTGCAAGCGGCATTTTTTTAGATGCCAAACCTGTAAATAAATGCACTATTTGCCGTACTGTCAGAAGTGTGTTTGGCACAGAAGTCCTTGGCGCACATCTTTATTACCTTCCCTGGCCACAGAAGAATGTGGTACATCTAAGGGGATTTCCATAAAACAGTCCAGATATTCTGCATAAATGGGTGTTTGATGTGCAGTACATGAGAATGTACCATGTATGAAGAGGGAAGTTTCTGCAGGTGCGGCCCAGCTCACCTGGTCTGCGTGAGGGGCGAGATCTCCAAGGCCAATGAGACGGTTTTACTGCTGACAGAAAAAGCTCTACATATTATTTGTGTCTCTGGACATCAAGAAATTGAGGACAAGAGGGTTAAAAACCGTGCCCCGTGTGAGGGTCTAACTCACGGCCTTCAGATTATGAGACTGACGCGCTGCCTACTGCGCCAACGAGGCCTGAAACCTTGTCTACGTACACAATTCCAGTGTATGAGTTCAAGTCGTTTCCATAACTCTGAAGTAAAAAGCAGCAGGGGGTAATATGATTTATGGAGGGATAACTCGAAGGGCTTCTTCAAGGACTTATTAGGACAATAGGGGGTTATAGGACAAATTAACTCCCTATTGATCTTACAGTGACTTTTACATCTTCCATCAATGTCCAAATGTTTCAATTGATGACTTTTTGGCTTGTTTTCCGTTGCCTTTTCTCTTTTATCGTGAATGTCTTTTATAATGAAACGTTTTGGGATTTTGCTTTTCTGTGCTTGGTTGGCCAAAATATCTGAACGAAGTTTTGCAATGTGAGGTGGACAGTTTCTGTGACCTCAGTTCACATTAATCCTTAATTAATGTGAAGCGTTTGTTTCGCACCGAGACCAGTCGCACCGAGGAGCAGCTCCGCTCATTTTGTCCACTTTCATTATATTTTCTTTTAGATAAAACCGTAATTTTTCAATATTTTTACGACTTCCTCAACGCTATGCCTAGGCCTACCAAACAAGATAAGCCTGAGCCTGTGCTACAGTGCTAAAGGTAATTAGCAGAAGATGCCCCCCTTCTCTACGGAAGATTACCACAAACTCGTACAGAAGATTTTACTGCTGGAAACAAAAGTTAATCGGTTAGAGGTAAATGTAGAAGTAAATGGACCATGTGGGAACAACACCACTCTAGCAATGACTCAAAACAGTGGACAAGAGCATGCTAGAACCCAGCTAACTAGCAATGATGGAACTATGAAGAAACTGGAGGACTCTGTACAGGGTAATAAACCAGCGACAATCCTCCCTGGACCACATTTGGTGCAAAGCCAAAGAGAAGACCAGACAAGGGAGAACGGATAACTGGCAGGACGCGGCGGCCCGATATCTGTGATCTGGCCGACTGGCCTGCGTTACCATCCAGGCATAACTCCTCCTCAACGTAGAACAAAGCAGCGGACAACTGAGAAGAGGGGAACTACCAAGAAACCTCCCCAGCAAACAGGTGTAAAACTACAAAACAGGTTTGCTCCACTGTTGCAGGACCATGGATCCCCCTCTAAATTTCTGGATAACCCTCCACCACCACGCAACAGGGTAAGACCTGCTAACTCAAAGCCACAGAGAAAGCTAACGACAGGGCCTGAAAATCTGATTGTGGGTGATTTTTCTGTAAAAGATATGAAAAGTAGTAACGACACCAAAGTACTCTGCTTCCCGGAGGATATGGTGTCTGACTTGGAAGAAAGAATTTTGGAAATTGTGGCTGAACACCCAACTGTGAAAAATTTAATCCTGCACATTGGCTCCAATGACATTGAAAAACAACAATCATAAAAGTTAAAAGAGCACTTCGATAATCTCCTAGAAACAGTCAGCTCTGTGAATGCTGAGGTGTGCATCAGTGGTCCTCTGCCCCCGACCGGGAGAGGAGCTGAGAGATTCAGTAGATTGTTTTGGCTCAACAAATGGCTCTTAACTGCATGTGCAGTTCGTTCAATGCATTGTATCAACAATTTTAGCTTTTTCTGGGACCGCAGCCATCTTTTTAAGACAAATGGACTTTGCCTGAATAAGATGGGAGCAAAGCTTTTCATTTCCAACATGTTTTACATCATGCGTCATCCATCTGTCCCCACTGCCAAGGACACGAGGCAAGAAGAGGAGCCCACAAAGAAGGAAGAGAAAACACAGCTTATCAGAAACGGCGAAGGAGGACCGCCATTGCCATCCCCCTCTAACCCTCCTGCCATTACGTGTGAGGATCCCTCTCCCACCCCCCCAGAGCCCCCATCCAGGTCCACGTCTCCCTCTTTCTCCCTCCCTTCAGTAAACCTTTCTCCCCCCTCCTCCCCCTTGGAGTTCCAAGAGTTACCCCCACTTACCCCCCGCCCTACTCCTATTTTTACTCCCTCAGCGCCCTGCCCCCCAGCGTCCACCTGCACCAGCTCATCTCAGCAGTGACGCCATCTTACGCCGATCTGCCCCCCCACCTCTACGAAGACGTACTACACCTCCACCTCCACAAATCCATCCCAGCTGTGACGCTGCTCAATCCCCCCCCTTAGGCCCACCCCCTCCTCCTCCTGACAGCAGCCCTGAATATTACTGATAGAAAAGGGTTCAGCAGTAGACCGCATTATCAGCTGGACCCAAGGTCGCCTACGTCAAAACATGGCACCTTCTGCATTCCTGTTGTGACCACCAAGAGAGTGAACGTTGCGAAACTTTGACACACTGCTAATCTAACAAATCTCATTCCTATTCTCTCCAGCTCAAAGTCAACCCCAAAGCCTGTGAATAACACCATCAGGATGGCTCTGCTTAATGTTAGGTCTCTTAATAACAAATCGTTTTTAGTCAATGATTTTATTACCACTTCTAAACTTGAATTTATGTTTTTAACTGAAACATGGCTAGAACAAAATAACAGTGCAAGCATTCTGATTGAGGCAGCACCCCCCAACTATAACTTTATTGATGTATGTAAATCTGGAAAAAGAGGTGGAGGGGTTGCTGCTATATTTAAAAATATATTTCAGGGGAAACAGATGTCACTTAGTGATTTTCCATCATTCGAATATCTTTGTGTTGTATTGAAAGGTTCTCCCAGAGTTCTCCTGGTAATTATTTACAGGCCACCTAAATATTCTGCACATTTTTTCGATGATTTTACTGAATTATTGTCTAGCATTTCTACCGACTTTGACTGTCTAGTTATAACTGGTGACTTTAGTTTTCATACTGACGATTTGAATGACTAGGGTGCAAAAGAACTTTGCACTTTGACTATTTTAGACACATTTGAACTGTCTCAACATGTGAGGCTACTCATTGTAAGGGACACACCCTGGACCTGATTATCACAAAAGGTCTCATTGTTTCCGATGTTTTTGTGACTGATCCTTCATTGTCTGACCACTTCTGTGTTTTCTTTAGTATTTCTTTCATTCCTGACACACAATCAAAATCAAATACTGTCAAAAAACGGTACATCAAGGAACATACTAATGTACTCTTTAAAAATGTCATCTCCTCGTTACCACCTCTAATCCCATGTCAAAATTTTAACTTTAATTCCAAAATTTTGAATGTTATAGATGACATAGCACCTGTTACGGTGAAAACCAGTTCTAGTAAGCAAAAGGCGCCCAGGAGAAAAGCTGCTGTTGTAACAGCCCAGAGAAGAGAGTGCAGGAAGGCTGAACGAATCTGGCAGAATACAAAACTTCATACTCACCGTGACATCTATAAAGAGCGCCTCCGGGCTTACAATTTAGACTTAAAAAGTGCTAGGGAAACATTCTTCTCCAACATCATCAACAACAACACTAATAAGGCAAAAACCCTGTTTGAAACTGTTGACAGACTGACCAACCCCCCGACACAAATACCACCTCAACTCCATTCCACACAGAAATGCAACGAGTTTGCGTTCTTTTATACTAATAAAATTGAAGGCATCAGACGCGCCATTAATATCTCAAGCAAAAATGTTGGATCACCACCCTATTTAGGCAAAAGTAACACAGCAATGATGACAAGCTTTAATGCCATAGACTCTCAAACTCTAGAGGAAACGGTGACAAATTTAAAACCATCCACCTGCTGTCTTGATGCTCTACCTACCAACTTCTTTAAGAATGTTTTTGACTGCCTAGCTACAGACGTATTGCAAATAGTTAATAACTCTATTCAGACAGGCCATTTCCCAAAAGCTTTCAAAACTGCAGTTATTAAACCTCTCCTAAAAAAGAGGAGCCTAGATGCCTCTATTATCAACAACTACAGACCAATTTCAAATCTACCTTTCATAAGTAAAATAATTGAGAAAGTTGTCCTACAACAACGTAATCACTTCCTGGCTTCAACTGGCTGCCACGACAA